TCTAGATTATTTGGGATAGTAGCTACTGTCACTTGATTACACACTGTGAAGGTCAATGAAAATCAGTGTAAAGATTGGCTGTTTATTACAAATATTTCCTGGAAATACCAATAATGGGTATAGTAAGATCCTGGATCATTGTAACACTTTTAATATTTGTTGCTAAAAGCTAGTACTTGTATAATGGGGTGTGTGTGTGTGCGTGTGTGTGTACAGGAAACAAAGTATGGGTTCTTGGATTTTTTTCTCCTTAATTTTAGAAATGACCCTCATTGGCTTCAAATAAATTAATATTCTTCATTTCACTCCTTTAATGTATTTTTAGTGAAATTGCAAATGTTTGAAGAAAATCATTCATTCTCTTTATACTTTGCCTTCCCACTTATCCCCTCCCCCACTACTGGTTGCCATGGAAACGACTCCCAGCAGCCCTTAGAGCAAATGCCAGGCAGTGTTGGGTTACCCTGCCAAGGAGCCACACGTCTGATGCTGCAGGATAGTGTGTGCTGACTCAGCTGTGTTCAGACGTGCTACTGTGATTTCTTTCTAAAATTCTGAGTTAACAAACTCGCGTGCGCTGTCTTGGTTTTTCAAAGAATGAGACTGCAACTGAGCTACACACACACACACACACACACACACACACACACACACACACACACACTTTGGTTTCCTTCTCTCCTTTTGAAATTCTACTGTACCTACAGAGTAGAAGTAATTGGTAATAGAATTTTCAGAAAACTTATGAGATCTGAGAGGGAGGGAGAGGCAGCTACATGTGGGAGGGTGGGAGACAGAGGTAGAAAGATTGAGATTGAGATTCTAAAGTAATCGATTGGATAGTTAAAACAAATTACTTATTTAATCCTGAGCATGATTGTGGAGCCAGAAACAGTCACCATATTAGATTAGTTTTGTGAAAGGCATATGTAGAGGCTGCCTTAAATTTTGGTACTGTGATCTTCATGGTTGAGTGTCATGATCGCTGTAGAAAAAATTTTGCATTGCATGGGAGATTATCTACAGATATACCTGCACATGAAAATCATCTAAGGACCCTGTTTCAAAGAGAACTTTACTCCAAATTTACTGGCTCAGAATCTCAGCCGGTGGAGCCCAGTCCTGATTCTGTTTTATAGGCTCCAAGGGTGATTTTCAGATAGCCAGCTGGCAAATTATTGAAGGAGGCTGGGCCTGGGAACGATTGTTTCAGCTTCCTTAAGGGAACCTCTTATTATAAAAAATTCTGCCAATCTAAGTAATAGCTGTGGTGTGATGGAGAGAGCACAGCCCTTGGATTCAGCAGACCTGGCCCAAACACTGGCCAAATCACTTTACCTCTCTGAGTATCAGTCCACTAACCTGCAAATGGAGGTGTGTACAAAGGTGTGGGGAGGATTCAAAGACATGATAAACTGAAATGTTTCTTTTATGGAAGGAGGTATTATGATAATATGAGGATTCTAAAGATAACTTTAACTGAGGGAGACATTTGAATTCATTTTTATTTTTCAAAATGCTGTTAGAGAAACTTAATATAATTTGGTAGAGAAGGACTGGGACTACGTATTAGAAGACTTTAGTTTCTAGCTATAAATTAGCTTCATAACCTTGTACGAGATCTTCATTTCTTCAGTCTTATTTCTTAATTTACACAATGGAGTCCAAAGTGTGTGGGGGCAAGGGGTGCTTTATAAGAAGGTAGCTTTACACGATTTCTTGGTTTGTTTTGCCTGAATTAAAAGTCTCTGGTTTGATGATATGGTGAAAACATAGCATTTAGTTTGTGTAAGAGTTGGACCTGTAATCTTTCAAGCCCCTTATACTTATGAGTCTAAATAAAACCTAGGATAACCCAAATTCTGAGGTCTGAACATCTTAACAAAATTTAACTGAAGATTAAAAGAACATATGTGTTACAGAGCATTTGGCACTTTTATTGTCTTATTACTATTCCTGTTTTACGATACATTGAAAAAAATGATAAACCTTTTTGCTTTTCAAGTTTCTTCAGTTTATTTAATAGTCAGTTTCAAAAGATACTATACATATAGTAATTTGTTTTTCCAGTAGTCCCAATGGATTTTGTTAGTTTTGAACACAAATCTAAAGAAGAAACCATTCTCCTACTTCTTATAACTGCAAGAATGCATTGTCTTTGAAAACATTTTAAGTGTCTAATGCTTTTAGGTCTCAGTCACTTTTTTGTTGCATTGTTTGGGGCATTGATTCAACAGTATGGCATAGCAATTGAAGAAGACCTTAGAAACCATTTGTTCATGCTTTAAACTGGCATATATCACACATAATACCCACCTAGTATATGCTAGGCATTGTTGTAGATGCAGAAGACAGCAGTGAGCTGGATGTACAAGGAACCTCATGGAGTTTATATTCTAGGATAGGGAAGTAGAAAGAAATAAGAAATCTAAAAAGATATTTTAAGGTAGTACTGTGAAGACAGACAGACAAAACTGGGTTCATATCCTAATTATACAAGTTACTAGCTGGGTTACCTTTGGCAAGTTATTTAACATCAGAGATGTTATTTCCCACATCTAGAATGCAGAGATGACAATTCTTACCTGATAGGGTGGTTTTTAGTATGAAAGGAAAAAAAGTATTGAAAGATTTAGTATAGTTTTTGCAATTTAGTAAGTCTACAATAAATTAAAATATTTTCTTAACCCATTCAAGTATGCTCTACTCTTCATGGTTCTAGGATTTGTTTTTTTGCTGAGCTTTATTCTGTTGAGCTTACCTCCTTCTCCCATAAATAATAATAATGATGATGATGACAACATCTAGGAAAACGGAGTAAGTCATTCGTTAGTGTTTAGGCAAATGAAGTGGGAAGAAGTTGGATGCTGGATTATTGCAAATGTCAACTAATGAAGTTTTGGGCATTCTGCATAGATTAAGAGTTTGCTAGAAAATCTATAATATTCAGTGTAATTTGCAAACATTAGCTGGTTTTCCTGACAACTCAGTAAAATAGATTGGTGACATCAGCTGCTGATATTTTTATTATAGCCCTTATCTCTCTAAATTATAATTAGTCATATGTATGCTTGTCTCCAATGACAGATTCTAAGGTCCTTGAAAACAAATTTCATAGTGTGCCCTTTGTGTCACAAGCCTGATGTGAATTTGGATTCAAAACCAATATTTGTTAATTGAAAAAATGGGATTTAGTAGTGACATAACAAAACATTGGTCACAAAAATAGGGCTTCTGGTTTCAAAAATTTAGGATAATAAATCTATAAATTAGTCCTTTGGTGGGATATTGGTAAGGGAACTAATTTTTGAAGGGTGTTTTAAGGATAGTTTTTTTTTTAATTGTGGTAAAATATACATAGCCAAGCTACCATTTTAGCCATTTTTAAGTTTGACATCTAGAATTATGATTTTTTAAATTTAATATTTATTTGCTTCCCCTGTTTTACTAGGTGAGCATCTTGAGGGTAACACATGTCTTGTGTGTCTTTCTTTATTCAAGTCCCCACATAATGTCTTATTCTTGGTATTGACCAGGAAAACTACTTTGAGTGTATTTACTTGAATGTTAATATGACTTAATTTTTTTTCCTACATAGATAACAGTTTTGCTATATTACAAGTCCTTTATTTTACCGTATTTTGTTAAGTGCTGAAGTTTACATTTATTTACTCTCTCATAAGGCAGTGCTTGTTAAGTCTAGTTAAGTCGGATACAGTGAACTGGGCTGTCTTCTCCTCCCCCTCCTCCTTAAGATACTTATTTGAGTTAAGCTTTCAGTTTGCAAGCTTTCCTCCTAAGGACAGTGAATATAATATAAGTGGAGCATTTCACTAAGCATACAGAGTTTCAGCACAGTTACAATCTACAAATCTGTTATTCTGTTGATGAGATAATTTTATCACAGCCACAGCAGTAGTCTTCAAGCCTTGTCGCCCTGGCAGCACACCTGGCCTGAGCTGGTGCAGTGTGGGGTACAAACCATGTTTAAAGCACTCTCGCTTCCCACACCTGTCTGCCAATGTGATTTTGTTGCACAGAACCAACACAAGTGAAGCATAGCCTGCCAAATCCTAAAATAGGTCATTTAGACCATAAAATGGAGGTAGCACGTAAGACAGAAGATTGAATAAAAGAATTATAGAATACTTATAATCCATAAGCCATTAAGTCTTTTAATGTATATTTTAGTTCATTTTTCCAACATCCATGAAGTGGATAATGCAGTGCCCATTTTACAGGTGAAATAGAATTCCATAAAGATAAACTAATATATTAATTATTGGATATTGATTAAGTGGTAGATTTGAGGAATGAATTCAGAGCTGACAGCTAAACCAATATTCTTAATTCCTCGTTTTTACTGAGATACCACCCAATATTATTCTGTACCTTTTATATACTTAAAATAAATATAAGTGGGGGAGGGGGGTTGTTTCTTTTGAGGGGTGAAAAAGATAACTCTTGCATTGTTCTGTATACCTGAAACTAATAATAAAAAATAAATATATTTAGAATTAATTGTTGATTTTCTTTCCTGTTGGACTGCAAGTCCATGAGAATAGATGTCTGTTTTGTTCAGCATGCTATCTTGAAAACCAAACATTTTGCTTGGCACGTAGCTGGTGCTTAGTAAATACCCTTTGTTCCCCTTTCCCTCCCTCCCCCCAACTTTTTTTTTTTTTTGAGGGGATATAGGGAGGCCAAGGTTCCCACCACATTGTTTTTGACTGTCTCAGGTAAGAAAATAATGCATGGAAAGTCTAGGTCAGTGTGAACCTGAACAATCAGGGAAGGTTTTATGGATGTACTAACCTCCTTAGATGGAGATAAAATAATTCTTTACATAAGGCTATGAATGACCTCAAGCACTTTATCCTCAAAGAAGGGACCATTCTTTGTAGACGAATCACAGTAAGGATGGGGAAATGCTGACATCTCTGTAATATAGATTCAATTGCTCTATTCAATTTTCTTTTTTACCTTTTTTTTTTTAATAGAAAAAATCCGGCAAAAATATGCAGATCTGCCTGGAGAATTGCACATTATTGAACTTGAAAAGGATAAGAATGGACTTGGACTCAGCCTTGCTGGTAATAAAGACAGGTCACGCATGAGCATATTTGTGGTGGGAATTAACCCAGAAGGACCTGCTGCCACGGACGGACGAATGCGTGTTGGAGATGAGCTGTTAGAGGTGAGGGGCACATATTTTGTATTTCTCTTTTGGTGAGGTGAAGGGGAGCACAGCATAGCATGTGGTAAAATAAGGTCAAGAGGAAGAATTGTGACAAATTTTTTTTTCAACTGTTTAAAATCATTTTTCAAAGCAAGAAAACATCATATTGTTGCTTGAACATATCATTTGCTGCTTGAGTAAAACCTAATCTTTCAAAATAATTTAGGAGCCCTTAAATAAAATCTCATGGAAATATATTAGAAGAATAAGGCTTGTTTTTAATATCAGTTCAAAGAAGTTCCAAATTAATGTGTTAATATATTATGTAATATTGTTGGTATTTATCAAAATTATCTTTCAGTTTTAAATTAACCCTAAGTGTGACATTTGTTTTTGTGGTTGTTGTCATTTAGTTTTGGGGGATGGTGTTAGAGCTAATGAAATCTTGGGATCTGATTGTCAGAGAAAGGTCAGTATATGTGACGTTCGTGATACGGGTCAAGGCCACATAGGCTCCTTATTTAGAAACAGAATAGAGATAAGAGAAGCTAAGGAGATGACCAATCCTCTGCTAATTACTATCTAGATGATTTCATCAATAAACTGAAAGGTTATTCTTATTTTCCTAAACTTAACATCAGGGTTTCTGTTCTGAGTTTATCTTAGTTTGATATTCATTTGCTTGTTCAATCACTCATTCATTCAGCTAATTTTCGAGTGTCTCTTAGGATCGGACACAGAAAAAGAGATGAATATATCCAGTCCCTTCATTCAAATATCTCAGTCTAGAGGAAGAGATAGACATGACAAAATTGTTGTACAGCAAAATGTACTATAATAATAACAACAGCAGCTAATATACACTCAGTATCAGACACAACAGCCTCTTTTACTGGTGAGGTCACAAAGTAAATGATGGTGTTGGGACTCAATATCAAGCCGTTTGACTTCTTTGCTTTTTGTTAACCAGTGTGCTCTAAGGCTTCTTGGATAAAATGCTCCAACACTTGAACATTAAGGGGAGCTAAATCATGGAGGCACCAAGTGTCAGACTGCTTACTTAAAATCAGGGCTTACTGATTTTGTGTTTCATGATTTCCTCCTCAGACTCTGACTCAGAATAGAATTCACAGTCAGGAATAATTTGACTTGCCTAATAATATCTACAGACAAAGCTGGTCAGACACAACTGTGAGACCATTAGTATCACCTCTTTCTTTAAGCCCTGATAGTTTCTCCTCATCTAGAACCTATTTCCACAAAGAAGTCGCTTCTGGAATTACTTTTCTTTTCTTGCTCTTTTATAATATAGCTTTATGAAAGGGCCCCATATTGGGTAGTAGCACTGAGCAACATAATCATTAAATTAATAAAAATCAAAGATGATGGTGTGTATGAACTAATATAATTCATTGCTTCAAGTTTATTTCCGTTGGCTGATATTTAGAGATTTCTTTGGAGATGAGACTAAAGTGATGGTGGTGGTAATGATAATGAAAGCAAAAGCTAATATACAGAGTTATTACTGGAAGTCTACCTATGCACTCACATATTTGTATTCAGTGTTCTTAAGAGCCCTATATGGTAAGTACTATTATTAGCCCCATTTTATGGATAAGAAAACTGCGTAAGTAATTTGCCTAATATTACACAACTAAGTTACCAAGTTTCAATAAGACTCCAAGATCCATGCTCTAACCACTGAAGTATGCTGTGTTCCCCATGGTACTTCAACCAAAACCCCCTTTGTTTAAATCTACGAGAATTCTGATTTGTGATGTTCTAGTCTTTAGGGAATCGTGTATGTTAAGTCACTCTGCTGTGTTATACATACCTAGACACAGATTTCCTGTCTTGTATGGTACGCAGAAATGTTCCAAAGGCTATAATTTGGAACATGAAGATGCTAGTTCTATTCTCTCTGCCTTATTAAAACTCAAGATGGAATGGCCTGTGGGATCCAGACCAACAGGAGCACTGTTGTTTTATTTCTCTGTCTGACATTTTATTAGATGCGGGGAGCAAATGAACTGTGGCTGCAGAGTAATGAAAGTGTTGTACAGGCCATACACAGAAGTCATCACTGCAGGGGGCAGTGAGCCCTGGACTTAGAAGACCTACTTTAACTTACCCTAATTCTCTCAGTTATTAGTTGCATTTTATGTTTTCTTTGTTTTGTTGTGTTTATTAGTTGCATTTTAGAAGGAGCTTAACATAGTGCATGGCACATAGATGACTATTATTATAATTAGGTCACATTTCCTCCCTCACAGACAGAAACTTCAGATATCTGTTTTCTAGGCTCGAGGTTGGAAGAGCTCTCCCGGAGGAAACAGAATATTAGCAAATTGCCATATTGGCCCCCTCCTGTTCCTTCTTTGACTTCCTGAACTTGGTCCTTGTATTGCTATTCAGCAACTTTATCTTCATTCAAAGATAGAAAGAGGAAGAAGATTAAACATGGCAATAAATTAATGTCCTTCCCCTCCCAACTATTTCGCTTGTTTAAAAAGAAAATAAATAAAAGTACATTAGAACACAGATTCTAGAGTCACATGTCTTTGGCTAGTTGCTTATCTTCTCTAACCCTCAGTTGCCTCCTTTTTCGAGTGGCAATTATATATTCATTCAGCCAGTATCTTACTGTGCATCTGTCGTTTGGAGGCAGTACATAAAAGGTACTGATTTTACACTGGTGAACAAAATCCGTGGTACCTGTTCTTGTAGAGCTTACACTCTAGTTATTGTAGAGCATCATCCTCAAAGGGTGTTATGAGAATTAATGAGAAGATAATGTCAAGTTTTACCACAGTATCTGGCACATAGTAAGACCTTAGTACATTTCAGCTGATATTATTTATAATATAATATTTTTGTATGGATTTCTGTATTTCAGTTCTTTTTAGTTTGTTTATATTAATACATTAGTCGCTGAAAGTATGTCCCAGAGGGCAACCATCTTCTTACTCCTCAATAACTCCGTGCAGCATCTTGAAAAGCTGAGAGAATGAAAAAGTGCCCATACTGGATTCTTAAGGAGCTATAACCCATCTTCTCATGTGACTTTTGGCTCTATGTCAGGAATGACAGGTGGGAAAGAAAACTCCTGTGGGAACCATTTCCTTGTTTCTTTTCATAGCTGAGAAACAATTTCAGTCATGTCTCTATGATATGTGAGGAATTTGTATATGGCATGATATTAAATCCAGTGTGCTTTTGAACCTGAGAATAAGAAATTGATTCATTGATGAGTGCCAGGAAGCTAAAGCCAATGTTACAATAGCTGTTCTTTGGATATTGCAGTAAATTAGATGGTAGGACACTGCATTATAGAAGAGGCATTTACAGTGGGCTTTTAGATTCTATTTACAAGATTTCCAGGTGAGAGCACAGCTGTGTATTTCCTTACCCACACTCCCGTTTATTTTTGTGGTTTCTCTCTTCAGTTGAGGTAGACTTGTCCATGTCTTGATTACTTTTACAACTCCACCCTTTTCTATATTACTTCTCATTATTGCTTTGTTGTTATAGTTATATTGTTACTTTGCTCACGGCCTCTTTGTATTTATAGTTGATCTGACTTCTTTTAAGCCCTAAGCTAAAGCTAATTTATAGGAAGTCGAAAAGAGAATAGTCGAACATACCTTGTGGCTTCTTTGAAGGCAGAAACTCTGTGTCCCTCCTAGAGCCCTGTCTGTGAATACTTTGGGCACGACATTCGCCAGCAGTTTGTTGCTGTGGGGCTGCGTTGTGACAGTGGACGAGCAGCCAGCAGGTTCTGTCGATCGATGGCCCAGTTCATGTGTAAAAGAAATCTTAATGTTAAGCCCCTAGAAGACAATGTGATTAAATCTCAGCTTCTTTGCCTTTACTGTGATCCTAGTGTGGGGAGTTCTGAATTAATTTCAAAAGACGTGAACATATAGTTACCATGTAGACTGGAATGAGACTTGCACTAGAGTATTGGCTTTCCCTAAGCAATTAGTCCCAGAAAACACACAGGCCTGGGCATGGTGCTGTCACATGAATGTAGGATTTATTTGTAATCTTCCCTACAGTGTAAGTGTGGGAAGAGAGCGCTGATAGTGCTGTGTGGGGAATTGGAGTGATTTGTCAGGTTACAGAACAGTGTGGGTGGTACAAGAAGTGCACAATTGATGCGGCTAGCATGTAGAGCTGTGTCGTATCTGGCTCCCACATCCTTCAAGAGAGAGGAAGTACATTCCTTTTATAACATTTACCTGCAAGATAGCTAAAACTAAATCTTGTTATTTTGCATGTGTATGCATATACGCCGTCTGACAATTAAGTTCGCGAACTCATCCTAGAAACAGTGCTACATACCTCATTGCTGAATATCACTATGGTCACCTTAGAAGTACTCCCCTTAGGAAGGTATGCACCGACGCCAGCACCTAGTCCACACTTCAAAGCAATTTTGGAACTCTTTTTCTGGAATGGCCATCAGAGCTGTCACTGTATTACCCTTGATGTCCTGAATGTCAACAAAATGTCTTCCTTTCAATATTTCCTTTATCTTCAGGTAAAAAAAGAAGTCATTGGGGGTCAGATCAGGTGATTAGAGAGGGTGTTTCAATACAGTTCTTTGTTTACTGGCTAAAAGCCCCCTCACAGACAGTGCAGTGTAGGCTGGTGTATTGTCGTGATGCAAGAGCCATGAATTGTTGCCGAAAAGTTCATGTCATCTAACTTTTTCATGTAGCATTTCAGCCCTTCCAAATAGTAAACTTGGTTAACTGTCCAATCGGTACAAATTCATAATGAATAACCCTCTGATATCAAAAAAGGTTAGCAACATTGTTAAATATTTATTTAAGAACCATTAATTGTAAAAAACCTGGGTATTTCCCATATTTGCTAGGGATAAAGACCTACAACTGCAGGTAAACTCAGGCTATATTGTCTAGTAGTATTTATTTTAAAAAAGAAAGAAACTGAAACCATAAAAGTTAAATGACTGACACGGGTATGCGTAGCTACTTCATGACAAAACTCGT